CGAAGTGGCGGAGTCCAGCCCAGGGTCGTCACATGTGGTTGCCGCAAGCCCGCCGGCCGTGCCGTTCTCAAGACCACCGGCCTCCGCTCACTCAGCCCGCCTGCCGTTCCTCACTCTAGCACTGTTCCAGAACAGTTCAACCCAAATATTCAGATGTGTGCAGCACATTTTATGGAGGACTGTTTCCTGATCCTGGTAGAGTAGACTATAATGCCGGCTGTTCTGACTCACAGACTGTGAGTACGTTTTTTTATACTTAAAAGGATTTGCCACTGACGATTCAAACGCGAGTTTTGAGCAGTGTAGAGTAGCGCTTGTTGTTTGTCATTTCTCCGATCACAAATGCAGACATGGTTTTATGTTTACGCGGCGCGATGCAGCGCAACGCGTAAAAAGACAGTATAAGTCATTATTATAAGTAATTATGTCCCCACTGGATGCAACAAATGCCTTGTTTATAATGGGTTTTAATGTTTTTGTCTCGTCGCTCCGGCTGGACAGGGCATCACAGTATGGTAAGGGCGTAACATTTCCGTCACACGCTTGAGGTATTTGGCCAATCACAATGCACTGGATAGCTGGCCAATCAGAGCACACCTCGCTTTTCAGACCGATGAGCTTTGTAAAAATGTACGCGTTTCAGAAAATTAAATCAGAAACAATAATGTACAGTATGTGGAAAATAATGTGTTTTTTGAACCTTAAACCGCATAAACACATTTCATTACACCAAATACACAAAATAATGTTCTTTTTAGCAACATCATATGACCCCTTTAAGACTATTTCTGAGGTGAAAACCGCGTCCGCATATTTTTCAATATAAGCTCTTTTCGGGCTATTTCCGTGTTCCATGAAATCTCAAAATACCCAGCGGTCTCAACCCAGCATTTGGGTTGAAAAAACAACCCAGCGTTTTTAGAGTGTATTCATGACTGAAGAGTTTTAATACAGTTGCTTTAATAAGGATAAATGTATAATTTATACAGTGAAGTGTATGTGTTTTATTTTTATATTTGTTCATTCAGTTTCTTGAATGGTACTGTTAAAGACCTGAAAAATAACGTTTTTTTTCCCTTTATATATTATGTGTATTTGTAATGTTACTCTTTGATTCTATTTTTTAATAGCAAAGATAAAATAATGACAAAGATTTTTATTTTTGCCCACTTTGGCCTAAATATCTGCCATTCTTTTTTTTTATTTTAGATTTTGTTATGTTGTAAGGCTTTGTTTTTAAAATGGGGTCTGGCTATACTTGTTCTCAGACAACTTGCAAATTAGTAAAACCAACATGACAAAGAATCGTGATAAAATCGATAAAATGTCCAGGATGGAGGGGAGAGGGGCTCCAATGATCCTTGTGGCTGTTTTCACTGTATGCTGTAGGGTCTTGCGGTCAGCAGCACTGCAGTTCCCTTACCAAACAGTGATGCAGCTGGTCAGTACACTCTCAATGATGCCCCTGTGGAATGTGGTGAGGATTTGTGGATAGAGGCTTGCTCTTTTCAGCTGGTGGAGAAAGTGGTGGTGCTGTTGGGCCTTCTTGGAGAGTGATGTGATGTTGATGTTCCAGGTGAGATCCTCTGTAATATGCACTCCCAGGAATTTAGTGCTGCTGACTCTCTCCATGGCCGAATGTAACCCCTCTCTCCCGGGTCCTCACCGCCACACCTCGTTCTCGCTCCGAGTGGGTCTCGAACCCGGGTCTCCGGCATGGGAGCTAAAGACGGCTTAAAGGCTAAAGACTGCAGCCTCTAGCATCAGTCGCTACTGCGTCTCTTGAGATCAGGCGAGTGTGGTTTACCTGCACAGCACCTACCGCTGGCCTCCGTTACACGAGCCGTCGATGGTCAGTGAGGAGTGGTCAACAGAGTTTCTCCTGAAGTCCATCACAACCTCCCTGGTCTTACTCACATTGAGGGACAGGTTGTTTGCACTACACCATTCAACCAGTTGTGCCACTTCCTTCCTGTAGAGCAGGGGTGCCTTCATCATTGTTGCTGATGAGACCTACCACAGTTGTGTCATCAGCAAACTTGATGATGTGATTGGAGCTGAACTTGGCATTGCAGTCGTGAGTCAGCAACGTAAAGAGCAGTGGGCTGAGCACACAGCCCTGTGGGGCACCTGTACTCAGTGTGGTAGTGCTGGAGGTGTTGTGGCCAACACGGACTGACTGAGGTCTTCCAGTTAAAAAAAATAAACTGACTATTGAAAGGGGTTCTTTATTAACTAATACATAATTTTGTAATGTTATGGCAAGCTTTTACATCAATGTTGTGGTAAGGGACAGCATGTTGGGATGGTTGTGAAAATGTGTTGCAGCTGTCCCTACACTGACAGCTGTGATAAAACTTGCTATACTAGCATAACACAATATCTTTGACACATGCTAGCTATTAGAAGCTAAGAAAACACTGATTAAAATTATATGAATACTTCACCCAAACAGCTTAGACGGTATGACAAAAAATCTGATCACAAAAAAAAAACTTTATTACCAAGAAAATGATTTAAATTATAATTTTTTTTTTGCAGAAGGAATGCTCACATGTGGCAGCTTTCTTCTAGGAAAGACGAGGGGCTAATTGAGCATGTGCAGTAAGAATATCATCAGTGTAGCTCATTCCTGATTAAAGAAATAACCTTTGTTGCAACCGTCCACACTCTCCCCTATTGTGTCCCTGTATGCACTTCAGACTAGTTGTAATACACTGAACTGTGATTGTATTTCCCTAAATTTTGCTCTATAATGAATTCCAAACTGCTATGGGGAAGATTATGTTACAACAGTGGCTTGTAATTATGCCCTGAAAAGTGGTAGTACTGTAATATAAAGGCTTTTTTAAATGCAGTAGTGTTTTGCAGTGTCATTGCACCACGCTGCTGCAGTTTAACAGCTCAGCACAGAATTCGATTAGTCTGGAAAGCAAATACATAGCTTGACTGTGCTCTGGCTGCACCATTGCATAGTACAGGAAACAAGAAACCATAGTCAGAATAAGCTATATCCTCCAGTACAGACTTGTACTATTGGGGTGCAAATAGCAGCCAGTGCAGTGTATACCTGGTGGAAAAAGTCACTTTTGTAATTTTGGTAATTTTTTGTTGTTGGTGTAAATAGATATAACATACACATGTTTTTTTACAGGTGCTGCTGTTTCTGTATCTGCGTGTTTGCAGTATTGTTAAACAAAGGTGAGTGTAGCCATTTCCACTGGATGTGTCCAAATATTTTTATCAGTACCATATCATTAATTATTATTTATTATTATTATTAGGAAGGAGGTGACATTTGCCTCTTAGAATTGATTTTTAAAGGCTTTTTCAGCGTGTCTGCAGGTCACTGTTGAAGGTGAAGTCGGAGGCTCTGCTGTCTTGCCCTGTTCTTCTATTGATAATCATCTTAAAAAAGAAGATATAACGGTTTATTGGAGACATAACAGCAGCCAAAATGTTTATGACATAATTGAAGGTGAAGGATCGGTGGAGAGGCAGGACTCGGCGTACAAAAACAGAGCTGAAACCTTCCCTATTGAGTATATGAAAGGAAACGTTTCACTCAAACTCAGTAACCTTCAATTTAATGATTCAGGAAAGTACATCTGCTACATCACAAAGGCACATAAAAATCCAAGCACGCAGCTTTTTGTCAAAGGTATGTGAAATATGATAAACTTTATTTTTTTAAACAAGTATTTATTTAAACATTTCCAACTTTAATAAAGTTTGTTAATGACTGATTAACCATATAAATCCTATCATATCAATTTTCTAAGGCCTCTAAACTGAAAAAAAAAAAAACCCTCCTTTACACAATCTACTGCATGCCTATAATGATAGTTTATTCAAGTAAATGTTCTTTTAGTATGATTGTAAAAACATCCATCTTCATGTCATGGTTCCTGTCTTTTTGTTTGCGTTTTCCTCTGGGAGCTTGAGCTTCTGCCCTTCTGCCCCAAAATGCATTTTAATTACAATTAATATGAAAACATGTACAAAGGTTCACAAATGTTTTATTGCTTTATGTTTAAATGAAGCCTAGATGCCACCTACAGTCCTATTATGTGAAGTGTAGGCCTGGAGAGTTGTACTTCTGTAAAAGACCTTTTACTTGATCAAATGGATTAACTATCATTATAGGCATGGCAGTAGATTGTGTACAGCAGTTTTTTTTTTTTTGTTTTTTTTTTCAATTTAGAGGCCTTAGAACACCTGAAATGTTGATGTGAAAGGACTTGAAAGGTAAGGTTTAGTTAAAAAGTTGAAAATAAAAAGTTTATTGAAACATTTTTGTGACGTTTTGTCTTACAGATAGAGGAAACCATGGAACAGCAACAAGAGCAGAGAGGATTGTGTCATTTTTAATTCTGCTCCATATTCTGCAGTATATTTGACCTAGAATGAGATGTGTGAAGTGTATTTTGTCTTGACAAGAAGTTAAGAGATTTATTATATTTGTAGTTTATTATATTAATTTTTTTTTCGTTTGATGGGGAATTTAAGAGTTAGTTTGATTTTTGATTTTTTTTCTTCCTTAAAGACTTTGCACATTTGCACATAATGAATATTTTAATATTTTGCAGTGATTTGTTTTGCTTGTATAGATTTTTTTTTCCTGCACTGTCACTTTTCTTAGCAGGAATTGTAAGCTGACCTACAAATAAGCTAATAAAAACTTCAAATCAATTATTTCATGTTTTCACATATTTATTTGGTATGTATCCATATAATTAGTGGGATAATGTAGAGTCAGCTGGCCGTTATAACAGAATAAACTCTCTGCTTTGTTTTGGGGTCCTGATCATCCTGTACAAAATTAAAATTTTGCTTTAAACACATAAATCTATTATATAAAAATCTATATTTAAAGTTTAAACTACATTTTAACTAAAAAAAAAAAAAATCTTAAAACTACATTTCATGACACAACCACAGTAGTATTTTAAAATGATGTGGGAGATGCATTCTGGGATACATGTCTGTCTCAAGTTTGCACATGCAAGTCACCTCCTTCCAAGTATGGGTTGCTGCAGGTCAGAAGAATCTCAAAAGGTTTCTCATTGGGCTAGAAATAGCCTAATTTTCTCGTGATCTCGACATAACGGGAGTTGTTTTCTCGTTATAACGACTTCATTTTCTCATTATCTCGACATAACGGGAGTTGTTCTCTCGTTATAACGACTTAATTTTCTCATTATCTCTACATAACGAGAGTTGTTCTCTCGTTATAACGACTTAATTTTCTCATTATCTCTACATAACGAGAGTTGTTCTCTCGTTATAACGACTTAATTTTCTTGTGATCTCGACAAAGATTTTTAATTTTTTTTTACAATGATTGTTTGATCTACTGTTGTTATAGTAACGAACTCAACTTTGACACGCATCTGATGGACAGATAAACCATGTGCTCTTACTGTAGCCTATGTCGTGGATATTTCAGCAAATTTTGCTTCGCCTAGTAATAACGTCTACAATACAAAAATAAAGGCTGATCAATCACGGTTGATATTTCCAGAGACAGTACGCTAAACATTTTGTTTGTGTAATTAACATGTTTAAGGTCAAAGCAACACCGCAAACACAGGCGGAGCGCCTTCAGGATGCAGAACCAGCTGCTTGGATTACTCACTTTTAATTTTCCTTTTATTTGAAAGAAAATTATATATAATTTGTAATTTTTAGTAGTCATTTTATGCTGTGACTGATATCATGTGCATTACAAGCTTCTGTTTGAAAAGAGCGTTGATGTGTAGGCCTATGTGTATATGTGTGTGTGTGTGTGTATATGTTTGTGTGGTTTCCACAAAGAAATGTAGAAAACACAAAAGATTACAACACTGTAGAACATCACTGAATTAAATTAGCCTATACACTTTACATATAAATCACATTTCTTATCAATATACATTTAATGATTAACAATAAAGATTAATAATAAGGAAAAGGGGCACATTACAAATAGCCTACGTCATTGAAGCCCGTCCTACTGTAGATAAACAGAATATCCCCGCTTATTAACTAACAATCATGTACCTCAAAGAAGCACAAATAAAGATATAGGTGCAAACAGAATACAGTGACGTCAACCTTGGTTTTAATAAGCAGTTATTTTATGACAGAACGCGTTGGTGAAACTCATGCATCTAGCAATTCACTAGAATGAATTAAATGTCAGTAATGAACAATACTGCACAAATGATAGCGATCACGAGGAAGGTCCTATTCTATCCCAAACGCGTACAGTAAAGTGGATATAGCCTACAACACCCCATCAGTTATATTCAGGTCAATAGTGCCACCTGTTGGCGCAGTTTTGTAACTTGGAGAACAACTTTTGTTATGTCGAGATCACGAGAAAATTAAGTCGTTATAACGAGAAAACAACTCCCGTTATGTCGCGATCACGAGAAAATTAAGTCGTTATAACGAGAAAACAAGAGGGAAAAAAAATATATTGCATGGCCGCTTAGAACTTCCGTAATCTTTTGAAAAAATTGGTCAAAATAAAAATACTTTGAAAAGATTGGGTTAGGGTTAGATATCTAAAGGAAATCTGTATTCTCAGGGCATTCATTGTTTTTATTTTTTTAATCATTTCTTTGGTCCAGGTAATATGTGATATGTAGTATTTTTTTAAATACATGTCATTTTACCTGTCCTCAGCATGAGGTCACAATGTAAAACTGCCAAACAAAGTGTTTAAAAATGCAGCAAATTCAAAAATATATTTATATTGAAAGGCGGAGATCTGTAATATATCAAACAATACAAAAAAGTAAATCTTGAATTATAGTTCCCATAAAAAATTATGGGATAATCTGGTCCTCACCTAAACACTAATAAGACTTGTAAGCTTATGGAGTTGACAAATGCTCACAAAACTCTTTATATAGTGATATATATTTTGCATACAGGAAATTATTTTAATGTTGTGTCATGATTTTTTTTACATACTTATTTGACCTGATGTGTGCCTTATTTCTTTATTTTACAACTTGTAAATCATGAACTGAACTACTTGATAATATATCTGATTTACCAAAGAACATTGGTTACATATGTTTAATATTAAAAAGGAGGGTAGAAAATGGAAAAAAAATGAGGAATTGGATTGTTCACAATAGTGTAAAAACTGTAATGTAGAGAATGCATTTGATCACTTCAGCCGCCTTACTGAGCACCATTATTACATAATTGAAGAATTTACATTGTTATTGGATGAATCAAATTAAAATATCATGCTTTTTAATGCATCTGACAGAGTTGACACAAATGAAGTTATGAAGTGAATAAATGTACATTAAAAAAAAAAAAAAAAAACAGTTCCCTTGCATGGTTCATTAGCTGAGACCTTTCTCTACAAATATATCAAAAAATAGGCTATTAAAAAAACAAAAAACAAAAATATAATTAAATAAAAACTGACATTTTATCTCAAGAATCAGTGTTTTATATTTAATAATTTTAATATCATTATCACATATCTTAAAATAAAAGAAGGGATTTCGTCTTAGGGATAACTACAAGGTAAAACCTCTTGTTTATGTTGTCCTTATGCACGTCCTGTTAATCTGTAAACCAGTAGCGTTTAAGCTTGTATGTAGAACAGGCAGCTTTCACCATAGACATAATAAATACCTAGACGCCTCATTGGCCGCTTTGAGCCATTGCTGCGATAGGTCAACGCGTCTGCCATATTTATCCAGGCAAGACTGCTTTAAAAAAAAAAAAACAGATGAGAGGTAAACGGGGGAGCTGCGTTTTTTTCTGGATAAAAACACGGTAACGTTTACATTTATCAGCCAATTTCGAGTGGTTTCTACGTGGAGTTAAAAATAACTCACACTCACACTGGTGTTGATTTGGTTGATTTTTTTTCTGTTAACAATATTAATGCATAACTGTGATATATAGTAGTGGTTGCCCGATATTGGTTTTTTGACAGCCAATGCCGATGCCGATATCTTGGAAAGCAGGGTGGCCGATGGCCGATATAATTGTTTTTATTTGAATTAATATTTAAGAAATTTGAAATCATTTGAAATGGATTAAAAAATACATTTGTAAAATAAACATACTTTAGATGACAAAGTACTTTCCACAAATAAATAAATATTTAATAAAAAATATAATTAAAAAGGAAGTAAACTGTAACCAACAGAGCACTCCGTATTCTGGGAAGTTTGTGTGCATTGCGAATCATATTTTTTTTCAAATAAAGCCAAGGTATCACTCATTTTACATACAGCACACAGTGATAATTACATGAATATGACAGTGGGCAAATGCATAAAGCGCAGCATAATTTGAAATCACAAATTTAATGTTTAAAGCATTCAATTCGCACGGACCGAAAGTCAAGCAGAGAACACGCGATCATGCAGGACACATGCACTCTTCACAAGATCTCACAACTGGATTCGACTAAGTTTGCAAGGTTTGTAAAGTTAAATTTTCATTAGCCATTCAAAGATTTGTTTAAATTATATTAATGCGTATTTGCTGAATGCTGACGGCAAACGAGAAAGTATTATTGCCTTTCTATTACTAATAATATAAAAGCAATCGTTATAATACTTTTTGTATACATTTTAATTCCTTTGTTTAACAGTTCTATCAGATTATTAGACAGACTTTTATCCGTATTAGACAGAACTGTTAACGACGACGGTGAACAAGAGGGAGAATGTGAGCACTGTGTGCTCAGGCGCTGCCGCTCTCCCGCATTGAACGCATCGGCAAAACAGAAAAATTGCCAAATATCGGCCGATATATCAGTCGACCACTAATATATACATGTAATGTATTTTTAATGTACATTAAATAAAATTAAGTTTTTTCATTGCTTTCTCTGTCTTCAACCCCAACATTTTAGCTTTTCTTGTGTAATTTACCATAATTGAGAAAATTGAATAAAACCAGCGAATACAAATCAAAAAGTGACACACTGGTGGTCTGCTTCCTATTTTCATAGCACTCTATACAGATATAAACTCCACAACAAACAATAACAAATATAACTGATAATCCTTTATGGATCCAGTTAGGGGTGTCACGAAAAAGTGACACTCTTGGTAGTCTGCTTTTTATTTTGATAGCACTCTATACAGATATAAACTCCACAACAAACAATAACAAATATAACTGATAATCCTTTATGGATCCAGTTAGGGGTGTCACGATATACCGGTATTGACGATAACCGTGATATTGAAATCATGAAATATCGACATCGTGTTAATTTAGGGTGTGACGATATATCATGGCGATAACCATGATATTTCAAATGAACAGGACACTTATGATAACACGACACGCAAATAGCCTACTCCAGCGCCAGTACCTGGTTGACCTCTCAGGTGGCAGTATTGCACCTTAACACTGACACCTGTCACACAAGAAGAAGACGTAGCACGCGGCCGCACTACTCCAAGAAGAACGTCTCAGGTTACTTGTGTAACCATGGTTCCCTTTTTTCAATGTATGC